CTTGCTCATCATAACTATGTACATAGTTGGTTTTCTTTGAATATTTTCAAAGAAATAATGCATTTTCACTATATATACTTATTTAGCCCCACCCTAGCACTAGAACCCCTGACCCCAGAGCCATGAATTTCACAATTTTGGTAGAACACTCAATGCTGATTACAAACATGCAAACAGTTTGACTGCTTGATGTCCAAGAGTAAAGAAGAAAATTTTTAAAGATTGCATTAATTTTAGCGGTTTTGGCTCCACCTCTCAGGCCCCAGGGGTCAGGGATCATGAAATTCATAATTTTTGTTCCCCATCACCCATAGATGCTATATGCCAAATTTGGTTGAAATTGGTTCAGTGGTTGCTTAGAAAAAGCTGAAAATGTTCAAATGTTAATGCACGACATCGGACGAAAACAGATAGCAATAGTCACCTGAGTTGATGCAGTTGCATAGCTCTCATCAATATCTATCAGCAAAATAATTTTGATGAAAATATCTTGGAGAGTTTCTTAAGAACTTAGCTTTGATCATGAAATTCATAATTTTTGTTCCCCATCACCCATAGATGCTTTATATCAAAGAACCACGAACGATAGTATTGTTCTCCCGCCTAGCTCTAAGTCAATTTTCAAAAGTTAACATATTTGAATGATTTTCAGAATTTTTATAGATATTTATATTAATTTTCATAAAACGTTACTTTTTTGGGATACCAAAGAAAGATAACTCTATAATTATGGTAAAAGTTGAGTATTTCACTACAGAAATCAATGGAAAACGGAAAAATATTTTTAAAACATCCTTCACCCCCCCCCCCCCCCCCCATGAAACAAAAATTCCTTTTTACAGGTAATATAGACTGTCATTTTACAAATTTATGCCAAAGCTTTTTGTGTTTCACGGGGGGGGGGGGGGGAACATGTTTATAGACAAACAAGAGGCCCATGGGCCACATCGCTCACCTGACCACTAAGGGTAGGGAAAAGTAGAAAATGGCTTTTTATAGTAAAGTTTAAATCCATAAGTAGTCTCATGAACAATCATGGATTTGCTATTTTTTAGAAAATGATTTTTAAAGAATTTTCCTTTATATTTCTATGCAAAATTTTGGTCGGCCATTTGGCCCTGTCCAGTAACCCCGGGGGTCATGATTTGAACAAACTTGAATCTAGACTACCTGAACATGCTTCCATATAAATAGGTATGATGAATTATGGCTTTGTCATTCTAGAGAAGAAGATTTTTAAAGAATTTTCTTATATATTTCTATGTAAAACTTTGGTCGGCCATTTTGGCCCCGCCCTACCCCCGGGGGTCATGATTTGAACAAACTAGAATCTACACTACCTGAGCATGCTTCCATGTAAATATGATGAATTATGGCTTTGTCATTCTTGAGAAGAAGATTTTTAAAGAATTTTCCTATATATTTCTATGCAAAACTTTGGTCGGCCATTTTGGCCCCGCCCTACCCCCGGGGGTCATCATTTGAACAAACTTGAATCTACACTACCTGAGCATGCTTCCATATAAATATGATGAATTATGGCTTTGTCATTCTTGAGAAGAAGATTTTTAAAGAATATATTTCTATGTAAAACTTTGGTCGGCTATTTTGGCCCCGCCCTACCCCCCGGGGTCATGATTTGAACAAACTTGAATCTACACTACCTGAGCATGCTTCCATGTAAATATGATGAATTATGGCTTTGTCATTCTTGAGAAGAAGATTTTTAAAGAATTTTCCTATATATTTCTATGCAAAACTTTGGTCGGCCATTTTGGCCCCGCCCTACCCCCGGGGGTCATCATTTGAACAAACTTGAATCTACACTACCTGAGCATGCTTCCATATAAATATGATGAATTATGGCTTTGTCATTCTTGAGAAGAAGATTTTTAAAGAATATATTTCTATGTAAAACTTTGGTCGGCTATTTTGGCCCCGCCCTACCCCCCGGGGTCATGATTTGAACAAACTTGAATCTACACTACCTGAACATGCTTCCATATAAATATGATGAATTATGGCTTTGTCATTCTTGAGAAGAAGATTTTTAAAGAATTTTCCTATATATTTCTATGCAAAACTTTGGTCGGCCATTTTGGCCCCGCCCTGCCCCCGGGGGTCATGATTTGAACAAACTTGAGTCTACACTACCTGAGCATGCTTCCATACCAATATGATGAATTATGGCTTTGTCATTCTTGAGAAGAAGATTTTTAAAGAATTTTCCTATATATTTCTATGTAAAACTTTGGTCGGCCATTTTGGCCCCGCCCTACCCCCGGGGGTTATGATTTGAACAAACTTGAATCTACACTACCTGAGCATGCTTCCATATAAATATGATGAATTATGGCTTTGTCATTCTTGAGAAGAAGATTTTTAAAGAATTTTCCTATATATTTCTATGTAAAACTTTGGTCGGCCATTTTGGCCCCGCCCTACCCCCTGGGGTCATGATTTGAACAAACTTGAATCTACACTACCTGAACATGCTTCCATATAAATATGATGAATTATGGCTTTGTCATTCTTGAGAAGAAGATTTTTAAAGAATTTTCCTATATATTTCTATGTAAAACTTTGGTCGGCCATTTTGGCCCCGCCCTACCCCCGGGGTCATGATTTGAACAAACTTGAATCTACACTACCTGAACATGCTTCCATATAAATATGATGAATTATGGCTTTGTCATTCTTGAGAAGAAGATTTTTAAAGAATTTTCCTATATATTTCTATGCAAAACTTTGGTCGGCCATTTTGGCCCCGCCCTGCCCCCGGGGTCATGATTTGAACAAATTTGAGTCTACACTACCTGAGCATGCTTCCATACCAATATGATGAATTATGGCTTTGTCATTCTTGAGAAGAAGATTTTTAAAGAATTTTCCTATATATTTCTATGTAAAATTTTGGTCGGCCATTTTGGTCCCGCCCTACCCCCGGGGGTCATGATTTGAACAAACTTGAATCTACACTACCTGAGGATGTTTCCCCATAAGTTTCATCTTTCCTGGCACACTGGTTCTTGAGAAGAAGATTTTAAAAATATGCCACCTAATTTTCATTAATTCCCAATTATCTCCTCTTGAATGAGGGTGTGGCCCTTCATTTGAACAAACTTAAATCCCCTTCACCCAAGGATACTTTGTGGCAAGTTTGTTTGAAATTGGCCCAGCGGTTCTTGAGAAGAAGTCGAAAATGTGAAAAGTTTACAGACAGACGGACAGACGGACAGACAGACGGACGCTGGACAAAATGTGATCAGAAAAGCTCACTTGAGCTTTCAGCTCAGGTGAGCTAAAAACGAAAAAATGTTGATTTTTCACCAAATTGAATTCTAAAGCTATTTACAACTAAATAATTGTATTTTAACAATTTATATATGTTTTATCTATTTGTGTAAAGCATAAGAAAAGATATGAAATACATTTAATCGTATTTAAGACTATTTCAAAATATAGTTATTCTTGAAAGTTCGATTTCACTAGAAAATATCGTCTACCCCCCTTTTTTGAGAGCTGAAATTAATGATCATTTACTATAAAGAGCTGGAATTCAAATCATGATTGATCAATTACCATAGAACTGTTCTTTGTACTAAACCAAGATTTATTGGCCAGATTGCCATTAAAATTGAATTTAAAAGGTGCAAAATGTAGGCGGGAATCAAGAGTTAGAGTACGTGGTTCTTTGGTTGAAATTGGTTCAGTGGTTGCAGAGAAGAAGCTGAAAATGTTCAAATGTTAACGCAATACAACGGATGAAAGCGGATAGCAATACGTCACCTGAGTTGATGCAGTTGCATAGCTCTCATCAATATCTATCAGCAAAATAATTTTGATGAAAATATCTTGGAGAGTTTCTTTGGAACTTAGCTTGAACATCAAGCTCACATGAGCTTTAAGCTCAGGTGAGCTAAAAAAGGTAAAAAAATAAAAAATATATATCTTCTTTTATATATTTCGTATTTTTAGAATTCAATGATATTATGACCATTTGAACAAAAATAAAGTATAAATATTTATATTTTAATCCATATTCCAGAGTGCTCATAGCATTCCAAATTGACTTAACTTCAAAACAAGCTTCATTTGCAGACAGAGGTGGTAATTCATCTCAATGTGACAGATAAAGATAATGCTTTGGATTTTCTTCAAAAGGAAAGCTAATTAATCCCAAGGGACTCATAGCATTCATTTACAGTTATCTCTCTTTGCCAATGCATTCTTATATACAGTTAAGGAATCTACCCCATCACCCCAGCTCCAAAATAGGGGACAGTAAGAAACAAACTTAGCATCAAAATATGTCTTTCTGTCTTTTGAACCAAATTTGATCTTAATTGGTCAACAATAAAAAAAGTTATTATGAAAAAACAGAAAAATTGTGGACGGAAGAATGACATGACAGACAGACGGACAGACAGAGTGATTACTGTAGGGCACCCACAAATCCCTGCAGGGCCCTAACAATTGAAATATAAAAGCCCTAGCACAAAGTATTCAAAAGTAATGACCAAGGTTAATGTTTTACAAGGTATGTCAAATTCCAAGGTCAAGATCAAGCTTAAGATATCCAAAGAAAGTTCTTGTCCCAAGGAATACACCTGTGAAATATGAAAGCCATAGTGCTTATTACTGTTCAAAAGTTATATATAAGGTTCAAGTTTTTTTTTCATAATCTGGTCATTTTCTAAGGTCAAATATATTTATACTCATGCAAAGGTCTCGAACACTTAATGAAAGTATGAAATCCCTAGCATCAACTGTTCAAAAGCTATGACCAAGGATAAAAATTGATAATTTTATTTGCAAAAATGGGTACCTAAAACTCCAAGGTCCAGAGGTTAAATTTAATTGGTATCCAGAAGGTTTGTTATAAGGAATATAATGTTAAAAAGTGATATTCATACTCGTTCATTTCAAAAAAAAAAAAAAAAGATACATAAATTCACAGATTTAGGGAGTTTAAGACAAAACTCCTGAGATGTTGTGTTTTTTAGTTAGTTTTTGTAAATAAATTAAAATTCACATATGTTGCATTTGCGGATTATTTTCACCAATAAGTAAAAGGATATGTTTAATAATAAATATGGAAACTATAGCAAAAAATTATTTGAGTAACCGGGTACTCGCACAGAAGATTAAGCGAGTAATCAGTTACTAAAAATCATCCGATTTGCCAACACTAAAAAAAAGCAACGTATCATGATCATGACTTATTCTTCAATAGATGTGTACATCAAAGTCATTTCTTTGCAAAATGAAATGTTGGTAAAAATGATGGTGGATTATTAACCGCAATATTAATTGCTTAAACATATCAATACAAAGAATAAATAATACACCTAGAGCACAGATCATCCATGACATGAAGATTTTGTTTGAAGGTAGGGCTAGCAGTTTTTACACCGATTCCTTCCGTAATCGGGAAGGGGACGGTCTCTTGCAGTTTTGTCCTTACATAACAGTTTGATAAACACACATAAACACAGCCTAACAGGTTGGGATCACATGATCACATTGGGTCACGTGATTGGTTGATCTTTGAAGCCACTATTTTTCCATAACCTCCCCTTCCTTCATCATAATCTGTTCTGTACTCATCTCGGACCTGAAATTTAGAAAAAAAAATTAAGGTATAATAAATATAAAAACAGTTTACTTCCAAGAAAAATACTACATTCAGTTACTAGCCTTTTTGTAACTGGCATAATTTTACTATAAGAATGATTTATTTTTTATTCAAATTTGGACAAGTTCTGTCACTTGATTTATAACACTTTAATACCAGAACAATTCATCCATTTGAGACAGATTTATCAAAATTAGTTTTTCATTTGTGGAAATTTTCACACCTCCAACATATCGATACATAAAAATTTAATGGCCTGCCGCTGATAGAAATAGAAATGGCTTTGTTTATTTTGTATGTAACAAACCCAATCATGGGTTCCGATACATTTAAAATGTTTACCTGTCCCCCACTTTTGCCCCTCCCGTACTGCCGCCCCTCCTTAAAACCGTGGTCCCAGTCAGTACGAATGATCCGGTCGTCCAGCCTCGTTCCGTTGATGTACCTCATTGCATTCTCTGCATCCTCTCGTGTGTAGTATCTGGGTAGTTCAGGAAAAACTAACTGCCACAATTAGTCATTAATATACCTGGTAATTATTTCAACAATTAAAAGTATTAATCTTTTTCCAATTATGTTCCATTGGTTGTATCCCTTTAGAATTAAATTAAACTGTTTCTACATCCAAATTCATTGTACACAATATAAATAAGCAACATAATTTAATTTGTTTTAATTAACTTCATGATTTGACTTTGAAAAAAGAACCTCAATTTACAGATAAAAAAAGTTTTTTTTTTTTATATCTTTTTTATCACCACATATATTCAATTTTCTCTGCCCATTTTCAAATAAAGATCTTATAATTGAATTTCTTCAATTATAACAGTTACAGATGTAATGGAATTTTTAAAGTTTTAATTTTTTTTTTTTTTTTGAAAATTTAAAGACATAAAAGTAAATTGTGAATGT